CCTCCTCCTGAGGACAGGCCCGCGGACCGCTAGATGGTGTTTCACAGCCCACTGGTTGAGAAACCCTGGTGTACAGTATATACTGGTGCAGTATGCAGTATACAGTACGCCACTCTGAACACAGCCATTATTTCTCAACAAACCATAAACATGATGAAAGAGACGCAGAGACAGTGAAGAAACAGACAACGCACCCAAACATGACTAAGAAAGATGTCGGGTTTGGAAGGGAATGCCACCCGTTTTTCAAAATTTCAGTAATCGAGATGTAAGGTCATTCTGAGTGGTTTGATGTGAAATGGTTCACTGTACAGAAACTTGCCAATTCAGGATTTTTTTGTTTTTACAGCGGTGGTGATAGGAACCAGGGGTCAGCACGTCAAAAGGTTTCCCTATATTTACTAAGTGTATCGATGTCTCCTCCTCTTGCTACTGTTTTCTTAGAATTTGCCTACAGTTTTCTGTGTTTTCCAACAAATCCTTGAGGAACAGTTCAGCACAGATCAAATGGCCTGTGGTATTTTCATACAGGTAATCTGTAAATTACTATTCCTTTTTTATTTATTTACTCTGTGTGTGTGTGTGTGTGTCTGTGTGTGTGTGTGTGTGTGTGTTGCATGCACTTCTAGCAGCCCTGCAACTTAGAAATGAGGAGAAAGAAAAGCTGTTTTTCCCCCAATTTTCAAAATTGTCAAATTATTCAAGTAAATATTTATTTAGATAAAAAGTATGCAAATTAATGTTTTAGGGATTCATGTAACGGTTCATAGAAGATACATATCCGGCTGTTTTGAGTTGAATATTCTAACATCACTGAAGTAATGATTTGAGTAAATATAAAAGTAGCTTTCAACAAAAACAAATAGCAGAAGTACAAAAAAAATTGCAGCTCAAAAAGCTAATAAAATACTGAATAAGCTAAAGTGGAATTCCACTGTACAATTCAGTGGATGAGATGTAAATATAAGTCATTCAGAGTGGTTTGGTGTGAAATGGTTCATTGTAATTTGCGAACCATAATTTCTTTACAGTGGTGGTGATGGGAACCAGGGGTCATGATGTCTACAACTCAAATATAACCATTTTATTTACTATCCAAAACCAGCAGTGCTCTCTGAGAATTTGTATGTGATGTATTTCTAATGAGAAAAGTCATAAATTCAAAAACAATTTTATTTTTAGGGACTATTCTGCTTTATTGTGCCCTGCATGAACCTGTCCAGCATGACTGTATATAAAAAGTTATGTCTCAAACTCTTCAGACGTCTGGTTCCTATCACCACCACTGTGAACAATTCTGACTCTGTAAGTTTCTCTAGAACAGAGCATTTCACACCAAACCACTCTGAATGACTCTGTTTACATCTTAACCACTTAATTATGGAAATTTTGAAGAAAAATCTCAATTTTCCCCAGACTCCTTTGCTCCTTCTTACAATGGAACTTCATTTCAGTGCATGTCTCACTCTTCTATGCCTGAGGGAGGTATATTAAATCACAGTGGTCCGTATGTTTGAACAGGTGCTGATGAGGTGTGTCTAAAAGGCACTGTACACTCCTGACACGCCACTAAGCAACATGTAACCAAGGAAGTCTGCATGATCAGTGATATGGGGGATGGGGAATGAATCTATCTGAATGCAGAGAGCTGAGCTTGGCAATGACGATTAAACTACACTAGAAGTTATAAAGAGCGTTTATGTGTTTATGCAGCATGGATTTTTTGAGGACACTGATATCTTGAGTCAAATGAAAAACTCTGAATAATGAGAAATGCCCCAAATGAGCCTCTGGTAGGTTTTCTGCAGAAATGGGATTGAAATGGTTCACCTACTTCAAAATCTAGGTCTCCTGACCGAATATGGGAAAGTACTCAATTGATACTGCATTACAAACTAGAGAGGGGGAAGTTTGTGAATGAACTTTAAGTTGGCTTGAAAAAGCCAGCTAATTACATTAAAACGTGAAAATGTGTGTGTGTGTGTGTGGTGTAGGGTATGTTGAGTGTGTGCTGTGTGTTAACTGTTTGTGTGGTGTGTTATTGTGTGTGGTGTTGGGTGTGGGGTGTGTTGAGTGTGTGCTGTGTGTTAACTGTTTGTGTGGTGTGTTATTGTGTGTGGTGTTGGGTGTGGGGTGTGTTGAGTGTGTGCTGTGTGTTATTGTGTGTGGTGTTGGGTGTGGGGTGTGTTGAGTGTGTCCTGTGTGTTAATTGTGAGAGGTGTGTGGAGTGTGTGGTTTAGGTTGTGTTGAGTGTGTGCTGTGTGTTAATTGTGTGTGGTGTTGGGTGTGTTGAGTGTGTGTGGTGTAGGGTATGTTGAGTGTGTGCTGTGTGTTAATTGCTTGTGTGGTGTGTTGAGTGTGTGGTGTGTTATTGTATGTGGTGTTGGGTGTGGGGTGTGTTGAGTGTGTGCTGTGTGTTAATTGCGTGTGGTGTGGGGTGTGTTGAGTGTGTGGTGTGTTACTGTGTGTGGTGTTGGGTGTGGGGTGTGTTGAGTGTGTGCTGTGTGTTAATTGTGTGGGGTGTGTCAAGTGTGTGTGGTGTGGGGTATGTTGAGTGTGTGCTGCGTGTTAACTGTTTGTGTGGTGTGTTGAGTGTGTCGAGTGTATGGTGCAGGGAGTGTTTGTGTGTAGTGTGGGATGTGTTGAGTGTGTGTGGTTTGTTAACTGTGTGTGGTATTGGGTGTGTTAAGTGTGTGTGGTGTGGGGTATGTTGAGTGTGTGCTTTGTGTTAATTGTGTGTGGTGTGTGTTGAGTGTGTGCTGTGTGTTAATTGTGAGGGGTGTGTGGAGTGTGTGGTTTGGGTTGTGTTGAGTGTGTGCTGTGTGTTAATTGTGTGTGGTGTTGGGTGTGTGTGGTGTAGGGTATGTCGAGTGTGTGCTGTGTGTTAATTGTTTGTGTGGTGTGTTATTGTGTGTGGTGTTGGGTGTGGGGTGTGTTGAGTGTGTGCTCTGTGGTGTGTTGAGTATGTGTGGTGTGGTGTGGGGTATGTTCAGTGTGTGGTGTGGGGTGTGTTGAGTGTGTGCTGTGTGTTAATTGTGTGGTGTTTGGTGTGTTGAGGGGTGGGGTGTGTTGAGTGTGTGGTGTATTATTGTGTGTGGTGTTGGGTGTGGGGTGTGTTGAGTGTGTGGTTTATTATTGTGTGTGGTGTTGGGTGTGTTGAGGGGTGGGGTGTGTTGAGTGTGTGGTGTTGGGTGTGGGGTGTGTTGAGTGTGTGGTTTATTATTGTGTGTGGTGTTGGGTGTGTTGAGGGGTGGGGTGTGTTGAGTGTGTGGTGTTGGGTGTGGGGTATGTTGAGTGTGTGGTGTATTATTGTGTGTGGTGTTGGGTGTGGGGTATGTTGAGTGTGTGGTGTATTATTGTGTGTGGTGTTGGGTGTGGGGTATGTTGAGTGTGTGGTGTATTATTGTGTGTGGTGTTGGGTGTGGGGTATGTTGAGTGTGTGGTGTATTATTGTGTGTGGTGTTGGGTGTGGGGTATGTTGAGTGTGTGGTGTATTATTGTGTGTGGTGTTGGGTGTGGGGTGTGTTGAGTGTGTGCTCTGGGGTGTGTTGAGTATGTGTGGTGTGGTGTGGGGTATGTTGAGTGTGTGTGGTGTCATTTTTAAGATTAGATCCACTGATCCAGCCATAGTTACTCTGGAATGATTTAGACTGAATCGTATAGCTTTTATTACAGAGCATCTTTTGTTTTTGAATGTCTCTTCGTATTTTTGTCCTGGCATTAGATATACAAGGCATAAAATATTTGTTTTTGGATGTCAGCTGTGTTACTACATTCCCAGAGAAACTACATCCATAAAAAACAAAGATAAATAAGTGATTTAGTTTTATATGAGGTAATAAAAATCATTTCAAAAACAAAGTGGTGTAATTTTAATCCATGTTTCATTTTCATAACAAACTTTCTTAACTACATTGACTGTATTACAAGGGAACTCCACCAGTTTTTCAAAATTTCTGCTTAAATCAACTTTTCAGATGTAAACAGAGTCATTCAGAGTGGTTTGGTGTGAAATGGTTGATTGCAGAGACTCAGATCTCTTTACAGTGGTGGTGATAGGAACCAGAGGTCTCCATGACAACACTAATATAGCCATTTTATCCACTATCCAAAACCACCAGTGAACCAACACGAGTCTTCTGAGTTTTTAGTTTTATATGCAATCTTGACGATGGTGAAATAGTGGAAAACATTCAAATATACATTTTCTTGGAAGGGACTATCCTTAGAACACCCTTCTTGTATCCATGAATCCATGAACCCAAAAAAACATCATAAAACTACTGTAAAACAATGTCTCTGATATCAGGCTGAATATTCATAACCATTTTCTCTAATAACTTTCTGTGAGGGAGCTTTTAGAGGCGGACGTCTGGTTCCCATCACCGCCACTGTGAACAATTCTGACTCGGTAAGTTTCTCTAGAACAGAGCATTTCACACCAAACCACTCCGAATGACTCTGTTTACATCTTAATCGTTTGATTTAGCAGAAAATTCGAAAAATCGGTGGAGTTCCCCTTCAAGTTTTCCATGAATAAGAGCGCTGGAACGACAGGAAGACTGTAGTTGCTGGCTGAATTTGTAATTATCTCTGCGCAATGCCCTGCTAGTTGTTTTGTATGTGTCTGTTCGAGATCTGTTGCCAGTATAGATGTGTATCTCGATGAAAAATGAATAAATAAACGAGTAAAACTGGTTGAATTGGTGAAAAATGTACACCGTGTCAGCTGCCGTTAGCAGCAGAGGCCACTGTTTACAGTGCTGTGAGTGTTGAGCTAGCTAACCTAGCTCCGTTAGCTACCGATCCAGGGGGAAAACCTCACCGCTATCCTGGCTTTCTATCTGACTTTAAGCTCCCGAGCGTCGTTCTGTATTAAAGCAATATGGATTGTTTACTTGATAACAACACGTACATAATATCTGGCCGATTGGGAACGGCTACGGGGGATGAAATCACACCAAAATACGGCATTTATCCTCGTAACGTTACTGACTTACCTGCATCCGCGGTCACTGAACTGCTTCTTTAGCCGCAGCTACATTCTTGAGTTTTGTTGAACCGCCTTGAAGAGTCTTTGTAGAGAAACTTAACGTTGAAGGGCTTCAGCGTCTCGGTGTGAAATCTCTGCTGGTGAAATCTGAAGTTAAACCCCTCCAGCTGTAGCTGTGGATGTGGCACAACTGCTGCTTCTGCTAACCGCAAACGGCGCAGTGAGGCTGAGAGGGGCGGCAGCTCTCTCCGCTAGCGCTGCTCCAGCTAACGTTAGCTTCTGAGGAGAGACAGCTCAGCCTCACGGTCCCAAAGCTGCGTTAGTTTAGTTACATTAAAGTAAATATAACAGCTGTAAAACTCAGCGTTAAGTCTTTAAACGCTTCTTATCATCAGTTTGTTTTCCCTGCTTGTGACGGTTAAAATGATCCAAAGTGAATTCAGACGCAGAAAAAATATTTTTCTTTAAAAAATAAAAGTCTTCTACGGAGCCCCGCTGGTGACATCCTGTATAAATAAAAATAATGCGTGGCCACGACTTCGTAAGGCATGGGAATGAGATGATTAAGTCGTGGCCACGACTTAGTAAAATGTGGGAACGGGATCCTAATGCGTGGCCACGACTTAGTAAAATGTGGGAACGGGATCCTAATGCGTGGCCACGACTTAGTAAGCCATGATCTCGTCCCCACGCCTTACTAAGTCATGGCCACGACTTAATCATGTCATTCCCACGCCTTACTAAGTCGTGGCCACGCATTAGGATCTCGTTCCCACGTGTTAATAAGGCGTGGCCATGCATTATTTTTATTTACACAGGGTGTCATCGTCAGGGCTCCACAGTCTTCCGTTCTCGACTGTCTAAAAACGAAAATAATATGTATGGAGCCCTGATGATGACATCCTGTATAAATAAAAATGATGCGTGGCCACGCCTTACTAACATGTGGGAATGAGATCCTAATGCGTGACCACGACTTAGTAAGGCGTGGGAATGAGATCACGGCTTACTAAGTCGTGGCCATGCATTAGGATCCCGTTCCCACGCCTTACTAAGCTGTGGCCATGCATTATTTTTATTTATACAGGATGTCACCAGCGGGGCTCCATAAACATACAATATTAATCGCTCTCGTTTATGTTTGATGCACGGACAAGGTAGAAAAAGCCAAGTAAAGCATTAATAAAAGTCCCGCTCATGTAAGTTATGGCAGCTGCGTTCTCCAATATATATTATTGAACATAATGATGAGTTCGTTCTTTTTACACTTAGTGCTGTTCATCACTGCACGACCAAGATCAGAATATCTTCATAGAAGCAATAAGTAATGCATTTCTGGAAAAAGCTGGGGAAAAGATGCAGCTTTTCCATCTCCATCTCTGGCTGCAGCATCAGATTATTGACTTTGCATCTAAAAATATTCATTATTTATTTCAAAAATATTTATTATTTATTATAACATTAATTATTAATATATCATGCTATTGTTATCATGCATTATCTTCTGGTAGGCTGCCCTGGCAAACAGCCTGCAAGAACCATCTAGGGGCTGGTTTGATGAGACAGGGATTAAGCTTAGGTCTTCTGAAAAAGTACTGATTTACTATCTCAATGACTTACAAATCATTTTGATATACTTTGATATACTGTGTTGAAATAATAAGTAAATAATGAGTATAATTCTAGAAATTACTTATTTCTAGAAATATATAATGTCATTATTTTGACATACCAAGCCATTATTTTGGGAAAATAAGCAATTATTGTGAGATGCCTGGTCAATACTTCGACAATATCATTATTTTAAGATACTAATTGAATATTTCAAGAAAGTAAATCATTATTTTGGGATACTACATCAATATTTTGTCATACTGCTGCCAACCAACAGTCTAGGGGGCTATTTCACAAAGCAGGATTTCTCAGTTAACCAGATAACTTAAGCCCAAAGAGGACGACTGTCCAATAGGAACGTCCCTCAGCTCTTTCCTATTGAACAGGCTTGACTTTGGGCTTAAGTTATCTGGCCAACTGAGCAACCCTGCTTTGTGAAACACCCCCAAGTATATGAAAAAAGAAAACAACTACAAGGCGAATAGGAAAGAATGGGTTTATTTCAGAGAGCAGAGTGAAGAGTACAGGTCACCAAAAGCAGTACAAATGGCCGGGTTGTTGCAGGGACGGTTCCTGGTGGAGATAATCTTAGGATTCACCTGCCACATCGTCAGCATTGCTCATCAAAGACAGCATAGAAAAAATGTACATATTGTGATTAACGTGCCCAACAATCTAATTATCTTCTTGTAGGCTGCCCTGGCAAACAGCCCTCAAGAACCATCTATAGGCTGGTTTGATGAGACAGGGATTAAGTTTAGGTCCTGGACTAAAGTGCAAAGCCAATGGCGAACCACTGGGAATTTTCCTTAGTCTAGGATTAGGCCTAATCTGGGTTTTGGGAAACCAGCCTATGAAGTAACAGTCTGATATAGTCTCTGCAAAAAGAGCTGGACAGAAACAGAAAATCACCCCACTTGTACAAAAATACCCCAAAGCACAAGCTTCATCATACACATATATACTAATGACAACAACGTCAAGAAAACTTGTCTTACACCTAAGGTGCAACATGCAAAAGTGCTGAAATATTTAGTCATTAAGAAATGTGAAGCAGCACAGTACTCGGACTCTGCTGTAATACGTGCGATGAATGTTATTGTTTCTTATGGAGGAGAAATGTATGTAAGGCCGTGAGTGGAAACGAGTTCTTTGTTTAGGGTTATATAAGAAGGCAAATACACAGGACACACAGAGCAGAACTCCCCACTCGTGGCCACGTGGACTAGTTTGCAGACCGTGTTTACGGTGGGGTGCAACATTTCACAGAACAGCTTTAAGCCTAACAAATTCATCATATATATACATACATATATATATAAAAACGGGAACGTCTGCAGGACGTTCTGAGAGTAATTGCAAGTATTCACAAAGCCTGCTGAATCACTTAAATTCAGGACAATTTCTTGCGAGCAGCTGTCTGACTTATTTGTTGCAGTTTTCTTTGCAGCACTCGTGGTGAACGCCAGCCATCAGGCTATCAGGCTATTGGGCTCAGTCCAACTAATTCAAGTGAAAGTGTAACAGGCAAGCCTTTTCAAGGCATACAGAGCTGTAATAGCCTTTTTTTTGGATTTAGTGACCAAAGCAGTGACTTTAGCTGTCGGTAATCACTTGGCACACATGCTGATACACAAATGGCTGATATTCATCATTGACAAGGCGGATGGAAAAACCTTTCTAAGTGAATATCCTCCGTAGAGTACCTATTTCTGCAAAATCTAATGCACAATTACTATTTATTTGCTGAATTTAACTTTTTTATACAAAAGTAAATGTCTAAATCTCTTTGCCATAAATGATGTTTTAGCACATTTTCATTAGAAAAATCAACAAATCAAACATGATTCGACTGGGGGTGCTAAAATGTTTGCATATAATTGTGTCCCTCTAAACTAGTATTGAGGACCAGTAGTGGCTGGAATCAACTAATGGCTTACAGCCAGTCAAACTCTCAGAGTTTAAGAATTTTTTTCTCCCTTTTTGTTTCCAATGACAATCATTTTTCCAAACAGCTATTCCTGAACTAACACTAAAGATTTAAAAACAATTCAAAGAAACAATATTAACGTCATGTGCACATACTAAATGTAAAAGTAAGCCTTGTTCTGGAAGAAAAAGTAACATGTCAAACTCAGCTTGGTTCATGCATTCCTTTTTGTCAGAAAGAAAATTCAATTATTTTAAGCAACACCTGCTTTAACAACGCTTTAAGGTTTGTGATTTGAACCTGGCATCCAACTTTCGGTCATTCTGTATTTCGTTGTAAAAGGATACTGTCCATGTGGTAAAAGCCTGGATCTGCAGTCATACTGTTGGAATGCAGCTGGAACTGTTCCACTGTTTCCATGATCATTTCGTAACTTTTTAGGCCTCATTCCAGTAGCTGGTAGCTACCAAAGGCAGAAACAATATTAACAGCTTAGCCAAGCTGCTTAGTGTGAACTGCCAAGTCTGTGTAACTTATGCACTGTGCCATTATCATAAGCAAACGCTACCATTTTTTGGTTTCTGAATAGAAAAAAAAATACATCAAGATTTATGAACATCACTGTTTTTCATGCCAGCTAAGTGTACATAACACAAGTAAAGGATGCAAATATTGGAAAAAATCGGACCAAAAGTGACAGAATTAAACAGACATTAGTAAATCTGCTATTGCCTAAGCATGACAATCTGATATTGCTCATATTCTAGTGGATGGTCCTATCACTATGAATGCAGTGAGATTAAGTGTATGTCATAAAAAGCGCACATTTAGGAGTTTTTGGGACAGTCTCGAAGACGGCGAACTCAAGTGCTGGACTGGTTTCCTTAGTCCATTCGTTGCTTAACCTCACCATTAACTTCAGAGGTCTCACTTGGGCCACTTAATCATGGACGGTAAGCCTCCACTGTGTCTCCAGGGCTCATCTCCAGAGGAAACTTTTGGCAGTCGTAACCTGAGAAACTGTCCGAGAAGCCATTAGAATCGTCGTCCTCCTCACTGCCGCTGTGCTCCTGGTCCTCCAACGACTCCACGTTAGTAGTGGGCTGGACAGGAAAGTGAGTAATCTCTGCAGCAGGAGTCAGGCTGGTGCAGATGGACATGACATCATCTGGGGTTATCAGCAGAGGAGTGTGGCTTATAGATCTGACCTCAGACACAGTCGGCCGCTCAGGATCCATAACAGACGAATCGGTTTTCACCATGCGCTGCAGGAGAACCGTGGAGAACAGAGTTAGTTTCCAGTTTTTTGCAGTGTGGATAAATAAAGATCTCTATTGAACAGTGGAATTACTGAAAGAGACGAGCTGCTACAGAAAAAGTGTGGATGTTCAGGTACATATCAGTCAGATTTACAATCAGAGAATGCATGCAGAGCATCCACCAATACTGTACATTCTCCTACTATCAATAATTATGTTTACATGCTCATGGATTGTTCAATATTAGTCTGACTATGGCTGTTTTCACACCTAGTTGGTTTGCTATAGTTTGCTCCAGAGTTCGAGTTTCTGTGAAATTGTATGTTTTTCATTTAGTAAATTTGGTTTCATATTGCAAATGGTTGAAGTGCACCAAATTATACATGTGGGCAGTCTTTGCGGTCTTTCATTGGTCAGAAAATTAGTAGGAATACAGGTGCTCTATTAATAATAACAATAATATTTATCATCGATCAATCACTCAATCAAATCAGTAAGGCAGATTTCATACAGGTAAACCATAAGGTTTAATACCAATGCATTTACTTACAAGCTGTCATTCTGGCAGTTACCAGTAGAGTACAGATCTTAATAAACACTTAATTTTATTGAGGTTTTTCAAATGTACATACACTACTGGCCCTTAGACTATGTTCACATTGCAAGCCTCATTCCTCAATTCCAATTATATTGCTCAGATGCCACTTTTCTAACTTTATGGTTCACAATTGTGTAGGTAAGTGATTCAAATCTGTCATTAATATGAACAAATCTGAATCCTGAAATGACCTTCATGTGCAAATTCTAATCAATAACGTCACATGAATGAACCACATATGCCGTAAACAAACTAACCAGCAGAAAAAGCCTTTGTAACAAAGACAGTTTACTCTGAGCGGCTCTCAGCTGTTCATTATGAACGAAAGCAACAAAGGATCAGTGTTTATTATTGTCAAGTTTGGTGCTGCTGCCAAATCAACACTGAATAATGGTGCATGCGCAGTAATAAATAAATAAATAAATAAATAAACACATAAATAAATAAAAACAACGACCGAATTTGAAAAAACTCTTAATAAGGGGTTCTTATTAAGGTCCACGGACATGTATCCAATCTAGTACCACATATAAAAGTGCTTCAGATTCAAAGTAATCGGATTTGCATGTCCACACAGCTCTGAAAATATCAGATTTGTCACGTTAAGGCAAAAAACTGGATCTGTGTCACTGAAGTCTGCCAATGTGAAAGTAGCTTCAGAGCGCTTTATCAGAACAAGTGTGAATGCTGGCATGCGAATTATGAAGCGCTCTAAATCTGGTTTTGGTCTGCTTCCAAAAAAACTCTCAGGCGGTAGGTGTGTGTGTGTGTGTGTGCTATATCATTATATATATATATATATATATATATATATATATTATATATATAGATGATTTGGATAAAATATCTAATTGCAATTTTTATGACCAATATTTAAATTATGGCTAGTGAACCTATTTCTTTGGCCAAGAATGTCAGTAAATACACGTTTTTCTGGCTTGAGCCTGAAATGCCATCATGCAGTTCACAAGCTTCCTGTTAACAGGTTAAATTTCCCCATTTAAAAGACAGCGTTACGACAATATAAGCGGTAAGTAAAATTGCAGCTCTCGTGATTTGGAAATTACACTCCTTTAAATTGTGATTGTGATATAAAAATGATTCATCTTTCAGCCCTAGTATAGTATTGCATTGTGTACTGCATACAATATACAGATTGAATATACATAGGTGAATATGGAACGAACAGTCGTTCATTTTTCATGCGTCCATGAGCACTGAATCAAATTATAGAACAGAGGCTGGGGCACTTTAAAGCCTTATAGAATGTGAGATACACACACACACATACACACACACACACACACACACTTCACACATCAATTATATTAGGCATTCATACATTACATTTTTAAAAGCTTTATAAAAGCTGTAAGACACTCTTGACTCTGCATTTTCACAGCGATTTCGGTGATTTCACCCCGCTTTGCATCATGAAAATATCACATGGCCTCTCGTAGCTTATTGCCATACACGTCTAAAAAAGATGGTTCTCTGAGGGTTCTTTAGTAAAGGGAATGGTTCTATATAGAACTATGAGTTGTATATAGAACCATTTCATGTTAAATGGTTCTTTGTATGGTAAAATGGTTCGTCAAATTGATGGGGAATGTGTTCTATATGGTTCTATACATAACCTTTTTGAAATAATTGCTTTGATTTCTATTGTTGGAAATATTCAATGAATAACCACAAATAGTTCATCTGTGTGTTTCCTTCAATTATTTTAAAATCACAATGATATATGCATATATTAGATATAAGATATTTCATTAAAAATCCCAATTTTATCCCTGTTTGAGTATATTTTAACTGTAAATATACTCATAAGTAAGCATATTTACAGTACAAACCTTGTCAGCGAAGTCTGAGAGAAAAAAAACAAAAACAAAAAAAAACAAAGTAATTGTTCATTAATTGTAATCGAGGTAAAATGTTTAATTAATCGTGATATTGATTTGAGGTCAGATCGCCCAGCACTACTCACGGTTCTAAATAGAACCACTGCCTTTACTAAAGAACCCTTGAAGAACATCAGATACCAAATACATCCACAAAACTCACAAACTCAGTTAAGACAGTTAAACAAGACTACCTAGATTACCTGTATCCCACCTTACACACCCAAATACCTCAAACGGTGAAAAAATTATGTACAGTTACCTGTACAAGTTTAATTTTATTGAGGTTTTCCATTTTATATACACTTCCTGTGTCCTTATATATAATAATACATATATCATTAATAATATATTGTTATTATTATTATTATTATTATTATTATAAATTCGTTAGCACAGAGCTTACCAAGAATTTGTTGATTATTGCACTCTGGGAATCAGATCCGGTCACCTTCGTGTACATCATTGCTCCAGCTGCTATGAATATCAGAAGGACTCCAACTCCAGTGCACACCAAAGTGGTTATAAGAGTTACATCTGTAATACATTTAAAAAGCGCTTTTTTAACACAGTCTTTAAAATGAGGCATAATATCTTGTGGGGAGGGGGAGAGAACAGATTGATAGGTTTTTAATCAGACTGAAATGGGCTGATCAGTTCTGCTAATCATGTTCCTACTGAATACAGGGGTCAGAATCTTTGACGAGAACACAAGATAAAGAAGGGATCGTACCAGGGTTACTGGACGAAGGGATGGTGGGACTGCAGACTTCTCTTGAGGTTTCTATAGGTATGCTGCTGATCGTCGCTTTGAGATGGACACTGAAGCAACGGCCGTAAAGATGTTCAGGAATGTGCATCATCCCTGTGCACTGTTCGTCTAAAGAACACTCACCTTCGCCACACTCTGTCTGTTTCAGGAAAATATATGAAAAAAAAAACAAAACAAAACAAAACATTAATTACCCATCAACACACATATGCTTCTAAATATCAGTTCACCTCACGCAATGATATATCCAGTGAGTATGTCTACCATGATCTATTAGCAAAAACTTGGGCTGCAACACAAATTGATTAAATCGATAATGCTGATAAAAAAATAATAATAATTCAATCTTGTTACTGAGTGTTTGGCTTGACAGCTAAATTTAATACATTTAATACACATTATATCAATTAAAAGAAAATACAGACAGCAGAGACTGCAGTGCAGAGTGGTGCACAGCCCAACAAGTCAAAAATATGGAAACACTTCACTTTAACATTGTCGAAAAGATGTTTTTTGTGAATTGTGTGAATCCGAGCACGACTTTGGCTGAAGTCAATCAGTTGTATTTTGAAACTGTTCGTCTATACTTAACGGCTAAATTATGCTAGTCCGTGACCAGGGCTGCATTTTCAATACAGTTTTGTCCTGTGTTTTTGTCCTCCTGCCCACAAAACAAAAAAAGGTCTCTAAAAAAATTAGCTTTTGGAAAATATTCTCCTCAACAGAGACATTTAAAATTTTCTCTGTTTTTATTTTGGTGTGGATAGGTAAAAAAAATAAAAATAAAATACCTTTAAGAAAGCACTGCTCTCCTGCACATGCTCAGTACTGCAGGACTGTGCATGTCTTAACAATTCAGGTTTAATTAAGATGCTGCTGTCTGTAAGCTTTGCTTTATTATTAGCAGGAAAATTCTGTACTTTGTGTTTGCACCTTTAAAACCCATTAAGATAGCATTTTCAAGAGCAACACATGGGATCTGCAGCTATGCCCTTGATAATCTGTTTTTTTTTGTAAATAATATTTGCTTGTATTAACGCTTGTATTTTGTTTTAATTTTACCCGATTTTCTCCCCAATTTAGTCGTCTCCAATTCCACCCGCTACTTAGGACTCCCCCAATCACACGATGCTATCAACGCTAGGAGGGTGAAGGCTAACACAGGCTTCCTCCGAGACCTGTGAAGCCAACCACCGCTTCTTTTCGAACTGCCGCTCACGCAACGTCACTGGACAGCCGAACGCGCTCGGAGGAAAGCGCCAACCACCAGATCTGTTACGTCAGCTAACAGACGCCTGCGCTGACTAGCATCACGCTGAGTGATGGGGGGATAAGGAGGGGCCATCCTACCCACCCAGAGAGAGCGAGGCCAGTTGTGCTCTCTCGGACTCCTGGCTACGGACGGCTGTAGAGCTATTTAATTTTTAATTACTGACAAACTAATGACGGCACTATCAATATCATCGCTAGTGGCAGCCTTAGTAAATTCAGTGCTTCCTAAAAAATGTCTATAAATGTTCAGAAGAATGAAAATGGCCACTAAGACACAAATCAAGCATTTGTTTAAAACAAACAATCAGTAATCAAACAAACACACTCATGCTTATCACTTTATCACCATAGAGGGCGCCAGAAGACTCTGATCATCTGCTTACTGAAACACACGCACACAGATTCCTGAATTTTAGGCCATGGAAGGAAAAGAAGCTCAAACTGAAAGCAAGACTGGGAAAGGAGACGAGTTCTGTCTAAAAGTCCCAGAGAACACAGTGTAAAATATCAATAATGTCTATTATACTAAAATTGAAATGTTACACAGGGAGATTCACTCAGAAGAGGCCTCGAATATTCTGTAATAACTCTCTCTAGGATGACGCGATGTGAACAAAACGATGTGATCCTCAGTATATGGAGCCTCGAACAAGCCGGGATGCCCCTGCGTCGGAGCGATGAGGTAGGCGCCGGACAGCCGCCGCGGCGTTTAACCTCTCTAACGCTTGCCAATATGCTCAGTAACATGGAGCGCCGCATTGAAATGTGTCTGGCAGAAAACGGAGATCACTTCCAGCATCGCATGTAATGCAATTGATTATACATACATCAAGATATTTAGCGGATTTTTTGGTTCAGATTGGTTCTTCCTAACAGAGTTACAGCAGAATATCCGGGGCCTCTTTCGAGTGAATCTCCTTGTATTAGTTTGAATAAAAACACAAAACACAGAAACAATAAAACTCGTCTTTCAGATTCAGACCTATCTGAGAACTGTCTGGACGTGGCCTAATATTCTGATGAACACACACGACTGACAGCCTGCTACACTGCCCAGGTTCTCAATATACAGGTGGCGTTATAAACACCTCTGTGTCCTCTCACTAACACCTTACTCAGCTTTTATACCGCAACGTCTTAAAAGTCCCAGAGAACACAGTAAAATAACTGAATGTTTTATGATACTGAACTTGAGTGTTATCTTAAACATCCAGCAAAGCTTGAATGAAGAATATAAGATATAAATGCAATAAAACAGGACTTAAAAACTGCTGATGATTTAGCTAAGAACTGTGTGGGTGTGGCTAATGAGTAGCTTGATTGACAGCTCTCTGTCCAACACTCCTAGCCCGCTCCGCCCCTCATACAGAACTAAAAATGATCAACCAGCTTTTGTGATGGTAACTGAACCACAAAGTCACAGACGAACAGACGTGCAGGCAGACATATGAATGGACGGACGAAGAAACGGATGGACGAAGCTACACGTGAATGATGAAACGAACAGACATGCAGACGGTTGGGCGGATGGACAAAGAAGTGGACGGATGAAGCAACGATTAAATGAAGGAACAAATAAACAACGTTGGTGTTGGATAAACGAATGACGGGCGACAGGTAGGTACAGACAGGTGGTCTAGCTTGCCAGCTTTTGGTTATGCTGGGTTAGCTTTAGCTTGCAAAGTGTCTCTGACTCTAAAACGACGTCAGCCCTGTGATTGGTCAGGGGAATGCTTAAGGAAGCGTTACTCAAGATTAAGACTGCCCAGTTTACATCGAGAGGAGAGAAATATGGTGAAATATATCAATCATTTACTGGTCATTGGAACATTATTCAAAGTGTGCACTTAGTAAACTGTTTACTGTTTGCCTGCAAGAACAAGATTAACCTCTTTAAAAAGAAAACACAGATTGTGGTTCTTTGGTTCTTATTCAACACCAGAATACTTAAAGGGGGTCAAATTCAAACAATGAAGTGTCATTTTTGAAATATTTTACGAATAAAAAGGTTTAATCCCTTGATATTACATGTATTCCTCAAAAATTTGGTTTGTGAGCCCCACTAATGTCACTTACATTTTTCTCGGTCATCTGAAAAAAAATTACATTCTTGTAAGAATAGTCTTCATAAAAGGGGTTAAAATGGCCCCTTTGTATTTCCTACAGATTTTTCAAGATCAAAAGATATTTTTATACATAACTACCAGTCTTTATAAAAGGGTCAGTTCAGTTACTGTGATATCTTGTTTTAAACTGATAGCTTATTTTCCATTTATCAAAAATTTAATTTCTAAAAAACATTTCATCACTTGATAAGCCTCTCCCATACATCCCATTTCATCCTGGATCAATTGCTGTCAGAGCTGATACTCAACTGTTCATGTTAAATGGAAGTTTTGTCTACAAACACTAATTTTTAACTCAGAAAATACGACCAAAAGATTTTGAAACATATATATTCAGATATTTTAAAATCAGCTAACTAGCAAACTTTTAGAGCCAATATTAAATAACGAGCTTATTTTAGTAAGTTAGCTTGGTAACACTAGCTACACGCACATACTAATCAATAGTGTTATGTGAATGAACCTCATGCGTCATTAACAACTAACAGACTAACTAAACAGACCAAATTAACGAGCCTTCCCCATGAAGATCATTAGTGCTGAACAACTCTCAGCAGTTCATTATTAGAGCAAGACGAAGGCGAAAAAGGATCAGATGATTTGCTTTTGCTTTTTTAACGTATTAACTTCTGTTCGCCGCTGCAGCCACGTTAATGCTGCGTGAACACGCAGTGAAAAGAGAACACATGAATTCTGATCCAAGCATTCTCATTAAGGTCGCATGGCCACAAGTCGGATATGGATCTGATCTAGGACCACAAGAAAGTGGCTCAGATCTCATTTGAAAAGATCAAAATTTCGTCTCCACACAGCTCCGAAAACACCAGATCCGTGTCAAATTAAGGCAAGAAATGGTAACATGAATGCAGCCTGAATAATATTGATTATCCATAAGTCAAAAGTTCTAATACATTTAATACAGTTCAGTTTAGCCGTGTTCACACTTAACATCCGTTTCGAGTGATCTGATCATAAGTGGATAGCAAGGCGTGTAGCTGTTCACACCTGGCATTTCCATCCGTCTCCAGCGATTGGACTTTCGTGACTGAAGGAAGGTACGACCCACATTTACTACGTCCGTCTCTCACTGCGTTTGTTGCCAGATAAAAATATACTGCAAGCCGTGTTCGTGTAAATGAAAGGCTGTTACAAACGCTTAGAAACCACATGAACCGCTAATATGACTGTAAACAAAGGGCAGAGGAAACGAAAAATTTAGCTACAGCAGCTGCTTTCATCTCTCCTGTGACGATGCAGCTGATTAAGGAGGTCCTTTGCTGCTGTTAAAGACACGTCAAGATGCTTTAGGTCACGCGTTGCTGACCATACCTGAAGGCAGTCTGAGTGACTGGATCACAGTGTGTCTCCAAGAGGCACTGCACCCTGTTTACACCTGTAGTTACCTCTTTCCACTTGTGATCGGACCAACCAGGACGCATGTTAATGCTAAGTGTGAACAGGGCCTTTGACCCCCTTTATGCATTCGAGTAGGTTTTTTGGGGTCTTACGTTCAAGGGTTAATATACATGAGCTATTTATTGGGCTATTTATTATTTATTGGAAAGTTATTCACAGAAACCAAGTTCTCTGGGACTTTAAGAAAACATATAATGTGACAATGCTTAAATCATGTTTTGGTATCTGGTTCTCTTTTTGGTCTGCTCACTTTACCACAGATGTGATGTTTTTCTAATTAAAAGTACGCAGCGGAAGTACTGAGAGAAAAGATACCATTTCAGAATTATTCTCTCAGGCTGATTGTACATCTCTAGTTTTTCTCATGTCAGACTTGCTCAGTGATGTGTAGGAAGAGAAGGCTCAAATCTTATGCTTTTCAGTCTTAAAAGAAGCTTAAAAAAAAGGCTATAACGGTCTTAAAAAACTGAATTCTGATTGGGGCGTGTTGTTACCTTACCTCATTACATGTGACTTTATAGGTGAAGTTTTCATTCAAACTATCAGAACCGTAGACGTCGTAAGGATGATCAAAAGACAGTTCGAAACTGTGTTGCAAGGCCAAAATATCTACGTCTGGAAAATCCACCACACCTAGAACAAAAGACATGTAAACGATACTGTCAGCACCCCACAGAATAACATCAGGTTACAGAATATACATACCATCATTAAGCACATTTAATTATCGTTATTACTATTATTTTATTCATACAGTACTTTTCATGCTTTACAGACAGGTGATAAAGCTTAACAATAAGACAAGACAAAATAGAAATGTGTGTGTGTGTCTATATATATATATATATATATATATATATATATATATATATATATATATATATATATATATAGACACGTGCTTATTCATTGCATTGGTTCTATAAGGTCCTCAGGGTTTTCACTTACACTCGGTCAAAAAGGGAAAGTCTTGGCTGTACGTGAACTTTACAACTTCAGATGATCCGGTGTTTTCAGATCCATTCAGCCAAGCTTCTACATACACATCATATGCATTTTCAGCATCATCTGTGTAGTTAGAGATATCTAGGTAGTTCTGAGTTGTTGTCAAAACTGGAGGTTGTTCTCTGTAGACAATCAAAGAAGACCTGGTTAACATTATTAATAAGCACTATCAAATTCAAGCCAATAACAGTGGGATCATGATTTGTGTCAAACATGAATCAGAATAAAGTCTGAATGTTTTGTATGGCTTGTTGCATTTGTTTTTGTTTTTTTAAAGTAATGCTAAACTTTTTGTTAGAAAACAAATGTACATAATATCTACTCGTATCAGTGATCTTGCTCTATTAAAAAAGTTAAAAGTAAGAAATACAAAATAATGTACAAGGTTCACAATAATATTTACCTTTACGGCATTTGGCAGACACTTTTCTCCAGAGTTACTTACAATTTGATCATTTTTACACAGGAAGGCGAAAGTGGCATTAGGAGAGGGCAGACTGTGCTAATATATACTGTGGACAGCATTTCAGGCACCTCCAGCACAACTGGTGCCTTTTCTATTTCCTAATAACTATTCATCCAATCTGGTCTTCATAAAACACATAAATAAAACAAGCTGAAACTTTTGCACAGTACTGCCTGTACTCACTAGCTAGTGAGCGTGACAGACGCAGTCACGAACAAATGAACCTTCCTCTGAGAGTTTATTCCTAGTTCTCCAACACCAAGACTGTGTTCTACTTTTGACTAATCATGCAAACAAAATGACACTCTTTGTGAAACTCAGGCAGGATATTAGAAAGCACAGTGTTTGGTAAGGGTGAGCAATATGATGAAATTTTATCATTGTGATAAATTTGGTCACAATATGCTTTTCTGAGCATATCATGATATTGTTAGTACTTAAAGAAAACTGAAGAATTGCATGTTAAATTACAAAGTGAGCATCTTTAGTGCAGTTTAATTGGATTTAATGCAGTACAGTGAGAACAAAAATGATTTTACTCTTACTTTTTTTTTATGTGGCACTGCTGGAGCTTTTTAGTCTGTACCAATTTATCAAACTCAAACCTATCAAAATCAAGACTAAATATCGTGATCTGCCATACTGCCCAATCCTAGTTTTATTCATTTATTTTTTCAAATATATGCATTGCTGCATTTTTGGAATTGTAAATATTTGTGGCTATGCTAGTTTAAAGGACAGCCCTAAACATGCACAAAACAAACGGCTAAAACCTTTGCCCCACATTGTAGTACATTTACTCCGTCATCATGGTTAAAAAAAAAAAATCCACCTCAAATAGTTCATTTACTGTTAACTAACTAAAAAAAACAAAAAAAAAAGGTTTTGTTTCTCACATTTTATTCTTTCCAGTCGTAATTTTAACACTCAGCAGTTTGGTCAGTAAGGGGAGCAACGAACTCACTGCTCAACCTCAACCTCGTGAGCCACTGAATGCTGCCATTTTATTGTTTTATTCCCTACTGAAAACTCTGCATGAATTAGGGCATGCTTTATGCAAATAATATGTAAATGAGGTGCCGGTAGACTGGCACTTGATTTCACGCACAGAAGATGATTCTGATTCGTTATTTTGCTCAAAAATCAGCTCATGTCCATGTTGTGCAAAAGGTTCACGAATCAGACACAGTAGTTTGTAGAATCATTAAAGACGATAAATCTGTGCTTTTTTTTTTTTTACACAACTTTGACGAATAAGATGAACAAGTTGGTAGATTTAATATCATGTGAGCTAACGTACCCTCTGTAGACCAGAATTCTCACAGCAAATTCCGGGTTTTGACTTTGGTCAGTGTAGTTCCAGTAGATGATGTTTTCAAAGTTGTGACAGCTGACGGTGACGTTAGTTGGAGGAGGAACTGCGTAGAGGGGGAAATCAGCAATGTAAGTACGACAAATATTCACCATCAAAAAAAACTAAGAACGAAAATATACAGCTCTGCACACATAAGAAAATTATGTTTAAAAAACTGATTATCTGGTTTGTAAACATTTATTTGCTCAAAAAACAGTACTATAAGAATAAATACAAAAAATTACAAAATTACAAAAATCACAATAAGTGGTGATTTTCTGACTATCAATGTTCATTTATCCATTTCCAAACCCTCTCCTTGTGGCAGCCCGTACTACCTGTAGTTACACCTAATACCTAGTTTACTAATTAATCCTTCATCAAATTAAAACACGTGCTGCTCATAAAATTTAACAAATCCATGATGGGGCCACTGAGGAGAAATCTAGAACCAAACATTTTTCCTTTTTGTTTTTTTCTGTATTACTTCTCACGTTCTTCAGTGTTTTAATAAGAAAAAATGCATTTACTGCTGTCTGAAATAATGTGCCAAAGACGTTGGCACAGCACTGTATATAGAGTAAAAGCAGTGTAATATTTATTTGTCAAATTTTCTTTAAAACTTAAAGAAAAAAAAAGAGTTATTATACAACAGTTAGTTCCGGCCACGCAAGCTGATTGGTTGAGAGGCATTCTAACCGTGCTGTTATTTCACCATAACATCACAGGTTTTTCACAAACACTATCACTCCGCTGAGACGCCGTTGCTAAGCAACGACTTTGACAGCTGTAGGAGACGCTCAAGCCATTTTACTTCTTACTTTGCCACAAACAGAAAATGGACACTTTTAAGATCACATTTGACCGACAGCCGATTTGTTCAGACTCTGAAGATGAGACGACACTAAATTCCCAAACTGTCGTCACCACTGAGCAGCTTTTCAGTCGGCAGCTGTGACAGAAGAACAGCTAAACAACCTGGAATCAGCCAGAAATGAACCCAACACCATTCGCCAAACTAAATGGGCTGTAAGATGCTTTACAGACTGGCTGGAACAAAACAACATTAATACTGATCTGGCAAAAAATTACAAAACTGAGCTGAACTTGATATTGCGGTAGGTTTTATGGCTCAGTCGGTACTTCAAAAGGCGAGGCTTACAGCAGACTGTGCAGCGAGTGGGCGGAGCTCGTTACTCTGACGGAGCAACAAGCTGCTCGTTAAGGAACTATAATTTGGTGAAGGAACTGCGAACATTAAAACATATTAAACGCCGCGTTCACGGCCCAGTTTATTAATTTATTACTTTATTTATTTAACTGTTGTATAAAAGCAGTAGAACACTCGAGGAGTGTGTTATCGCCAATAACACCACGGCTGTGATGATCTACGGCGACCAAATCACAGCCATGATGTTATTTCGCGATAACACACAACCTCAAGGTGTGCTATTGCTTAAGCGTCACTAAAATTTAGTTTAAATAGTCATAGTCAATAATAGAGTAAAATGATGTTACAGACAGACATTTTTTCAATTGGACATATCAAATTCAATGGAAATACAATTTGACCTTTTCTGAGTATTTTTCAATGACACAGTTATACTCAGGTTTATATGTTAGAACAGAAATCCTGCTTTTTATATTTTATTCCTTAACATTTACTATTCCACTAATTCAGAGGTTACCAATTCATTTTTGTTTTTCTTTTTCATTTTTGGCTTTAGTTTCTTTCTTTTGTGTTGGTTAAGCTCCTGTACTGCTTTGTATTTTATACCACAAGTTTTTTTTTAAAGAAGAACGGAGCCAAACAACCATCTATGCCGACAGATTAACTAGGAAGTTTCACTGCCGTTCTTTCGAGGGGAATTCCAGTGATTTTTCTCTAAATTGTAAACAGAGTCATTCAGAGTGGTTTGGTGTGAAACGCTCTGTTATTGAGAAACTTGCTGATCCAGAATTGTTCACAGTGGTGGTGATAGGAACCAAACATCCACCACTAAAAACATTTTTTTCATGCCATTCATGGTGGAGAGGTACACGCAGGGCATTAACAGGTGAAATACTGTCCCCCGCCAAAATGTGTTTCCACTATTTTGTCCACTATTTCACCAGTATCAACATTCCATATAAAGCTCAGAAGACTTGTGTTGGTTCACTGGTGGTTTTGGATAGTAAATAAAATGGCTATATTTGTGTTGTAGTCATGGTGACCCCTGGTTCCTATCACCACCACTGTAAAGACATCTGAACCATTTCACACCAAACCACTCTGAAAGATTTTGTTTACATCTCAACCACCAAATTACAGTCTTGTTGAAAAATCAGTGGAATTTACCTTTAACTTATTCAGTACTTTAGTAGTTTTTTGAGCTGCAAGTTTCTACTCAAGTTGTTTTTGTGGAAAGGTACTTTTATATTTACTCAAATCATTATTTTAATTGAGTTACAATATTCAACTCAAAACAGCAGAATATGTATCTTCTATGAGCGATTACTTGAATCATTTAAATAAATAAATATTCACAAACTTGACATTCATTTTGAAAATGTGGGGGGGGGCAGCTTTTCTTCCCCCTTATTTCTATAGCTGCACACACACACACACACACACACACACACACACACACACACACACACACACACAAATAAAAAAGTAAAAGGAACAGTAATTGACAGATCACCTGTGTGAAAATACCACAGGCCTTTCGATCTGTGGTCAACTGTTCCTTAAGCATTTGCGGGAAAACACTGCGAACTGTAGGCAATTTGTAGAAAAACTGTAGGAAGAGGAGGGAGACACGATCTAGCTCAGGGTTCTCAACCTTTTCCACCCACTTATTTATCTCTAAAAAGCATGAAGGCCTGCAGCAGGAAAAAAAACACGCTTAAAAAAATATTTATTTCCCAATCGAGACAGAAAACCTGAGAATTATGACCCTAACAATAGCTTACCAATCAGATCCAACCACAGAAACCAAAATGCCACCTTAAAAAAAATGTTTGTGTCTCTACAGCTTTAGCTCCGTCCTCTCTAATGTCTCCAGCGTTTTTGGAAACGAGAGCCAGTCAAGACTGAGCTTTTGTTGTTTGTGCCACTAGATGGGGCAGAAGAGAAGATGTGATCTCTTCTTTAATTAGGGGGCCACACTTGTCGTTAAATCTGTGACCTTCTTTATAATCGCCTCCTTTGTGTTGTCTTGTACGTCCGAGGATACTGAGCTGAAATGTCATGTTTTTAGTTTAAAGAAGTCATTCTTTTGTTATGCACAGAGTAGGAGTTTAACTTTTTCTTGACAAGGAGCAAGACAGACGCTAAAATCCAGAAGAAATCCAAAAAAAATGCAATGCTGACATCCTACGTCCAACCTTACCTAACATTAGCCGTCATTTTATCAATCAGCATTTATTTGGAAGTCTGAGGTCATGGCCCAAAATATGTCCGTTTAAGCTGCAAAATCTCACATTTTGAAATTTGAACTTTAATGGGTAACTCAGCGTTGGACTGATGGAGGGAAAATGGTTACTCAGCCTGATAAAATCTACACAGGAAGCCTGACTCAATTTCCACTGCAGGAAGCAAAGAATGCACAAGTCAGTGTGCAACAAACGAGTGAAATGAATAATCCTTTGTACATCACTGTAAGAAAAGTTTTTCTTTTATGGTTATGGATTTCGTACGTCAACAAGTGAAGCTCTAAACCATAAATACCACTTCAAAACAACAAATTAGCAAAGCTTTCTTTAAATAGAGTAAAGCCAAATTGGGGATTTTGTCATGTGCATGCATTTACTTTGTTCCGAAAAGCGAAAAAGAGTTCAGTTCACATTGATGCGGACACGCTAAACAGAGCACAACACAGACAGGAAGGAACTGAATAAAAGTTTCACCTCCACGTTTTTAGGTCATGTTAGCGAGGTTACACAAATCTGCACATATGCTAGAGACACCGGTAAGCTAGTCTGGTCAAGGCTCTACTGGGGTGAACTCAAATCTGCAAAAACACGACAGCTAGAGATGCACGAAGACTCTGGAATCACACCAGCATTGGTAGATATTCACACAAAGATATCTGAGCATCGAAGGGATTTGACAGATGTTTCAAACTGATATTTGGTGATGTATTTATCGAATTTCAGTAGAGCAGTGACGCTGGGCTACTGCGCTAAAATATCTGCAATTTATTCATTTTACTGCATTTTTAGTTCTACAGAAATAAGAGAATTTCCCCGGTGTGAGACTAATAAAGGATTATCTTATCTTCTTATATTATCATATCGTATCGTACCTTATTGTATCATATTGTACCTTAACGTATCGTATCTTCTCGTATCATACATTATTGTGTCTTATTGGGTCATATTGTATCGTATCGCACATGTGGAGTAGCATTTAGCGTAGACGTTACCATGACAGCAAATATCACGCGAGTCCAGTCAGAGTGAGACGAGCAGCAGTGAGCAGCACTTGTGTTTTAAACTACTTTAAAATGATGTCAGACTCAGGAAAACGTCCTTCACATGTCCTGATTAAAGAAGGCCGAGTGGAAGACGTCGTGTTCTGAGACACATAAGCTGGACGTCCGTCCCACCGCCGTCTTTTAAAGATCAGAGCATGAACTTCGTCTCCTCTGCAGACCAGTTTCGGCTCCGCCATGTTGAACGGTATAAACTTTCACTGTGACGCGACGAACATGATCAGAACAGACTTAAACTTTCCGATTGGGAATGTAATCAGATTCAGGCGTTTACACGGATATTATTCTTCTATTTAACGGATTATTTACAGGATTGCCCACCTCAAATCTTCAATCAGATAGAAATTGTATTCCGAGTGGCCTCAATGGGACTAGACTGTTCTGCTTGAGGTGTATAAATGGACGTATTTTATTCTGATTGAGCTATTAGTCGGATTATTAACAGATTTTTAGCCTGCATGTAAACGTGGCTAGTATTTCCCGGCATATAATAGAGTGGACAGTGAGTGGACACAGTGTGTACAAACTACAGCAGCACTGCTCTGTCTGATCCACTCACATTAGTGCAACACACACAACACACCAC